CGGCTTCAAGAGGGCATTGGATAAACATATGGAGTAGAGGTCCATCAGTGGCTATTATCACAGGATGTATTAACTGGGATTTTATGGAATTGTATTTATATGTGTAATTGTTGGTTTTAACTGTATGTTTTAAATTGTTTTTAAGCTGCCCTGAGCCGCTTTGGCGGGAGGGCGGGGTAGAAATGTAATAAATAAATAAATATTAGCCACAAGGTATAGATAGGAACTCTCGGTGTGTGCCAATTCCAAGTCAAACCACTCCACCTCCCCCATGGTGGGGAGGCTGGGGAAGGAAAGGGAAGCTGCCCTGCTGCTTCTGGTCAGTTTCACTCCCCTCTGATTAGCTCTTAAACCTAACAGCTGATGGGAGGGGGAGGGAAACTGACCAAAGTGGCAGAGCAGCTTCCCTGGAGGAGTTGGCGAGCCCATGGAGGGGTGGGGTAAGGAACGTGGCGCAGTGGGCAAGGGTAAGGGGCGCAGTGCACTGGTGGTGGGGAGAGTCCGGGGATCGGACATCCTTCTGGGGTGGGGCAGGGCTCATCCCTGGTGGGGCTCCACCCCCAAATGCCCCATTGTGGCTATGGGCCTGAGCAGTGTTCCCTCTAAGCTGAGTTAGTGTGAGCTAGCTCACAGTTTTTTAGCCTCCCGCTCACATATTTTTGTCTTAGCTCAGGAAGGATGGCTCCAGAGCAAACTAATTGATGCGGTAGCCAAATCGCTCACTCACAACTTTAATGCCAGTAGCTCACAAAGCAGAATTTTTGCTCACAAGATTCCACAGTTTAGAGGGGACATTGGGCCTGAGTACTGGCAGATTCTTCTGTGCCTTGCATCCTGTTATCTCAGCAGTCTGTTCTTCTTCTGGTCATTGTTACGTTTGGAGCAGACTATACTCCAAAGGCCAGGCATGTTGCAATACACCTGGCTCAGGGATAGGGGAGGAGAAGCCAACAGATATTCATGGCACAGGAGGAGTAGGGGCTTCTGCCTCCCCCCGCACCCCAGTTCCCAACATAAAATTGGGTGCCTGTACATTTGAATTCCCATAGCTGCTGTCCTGCTGTAAGTCTCAATGGTGATCAGCTGGTAGATGTAATATGTAGTTTGCCCCTCAGTCTAACAAGGAGCCAAAAAATATCAGACACTTTTGGTGTATCCTCCAAACTTAATCCCATCTCCCAAACTTAATGGCGTCCTACCGATCAGACACTTTTGGTGTATCCTCCCCCATCTCCCAAACTTAATGGCGTCCTACCTAGTAACAATCAAGATCTGAAACTGAATGGCCTGTGTGGCTGTTCACTGCATCAGCGATGCCACAATAGATTAGATGTAATTTGTGATTTCATATGATTCTTAGTGCACTAAGCCCATTTCTTCAGATGAGCTTTTTGTTTCTCTCTCTCACATGGCAAGCTAACAATGTTCCTAGCATACTCACATAGCATTAACTCTGGAATTCTTAGAATCAGTGATAACCAAATATCTTGGTTTCACTATATACTAATACAAATTTGTGAAAAAGATTACCTTTAAGGAAACTGAATGATTTTGAAAATCTATCAATGCAACCTCAGAAACATTTTCTATCAATACTATATAGCTTGATTATAAATGATATCTCTTTTGAAGATGAAAGCTTCATCTGCAAGCAAGACCATACTTTAGGCTATGGTGTAGCTGAGGATGTCTGGAAGTTTGTGTTGTCCCATGGTTCTTCCTTTTCCATATGCCTGAACTTTAAGGAAAATATCTACAAAATGATTAAAAAGTTGTATCGTACGTCAAAGCTAACTGCGAAGATATACAACTCTTGTTCAGGCAATTGTTGGTATTGTCATGCTGAATCAGCAGTTTTTATACATTTGTGGTGGTATTGTCTAAGGGCAGTTGAATACTAAAATAAATTTCCTAACTTGTTAAGTGATGGTTTAAATAGAAGTGTTTTGAAGACACCTGAAACTTTTTTGCTTAATTATGGTCCCTCATTTTCAGGTAATTCTCAGCTTATTTTGTTAAATTCAAACACTATGGTTAGGTTAAACGTCACAAAATGCTGTAAATCAAAAGAATCTCCAAGCGTTCAGCCTTGGCTGGATAAAATGAATGATGTTTATTTGATGGTTGGTCTCACCTTTTGTGTGAATGGTAGGAACTTTGTAGCAATGTGGTCTGAATGGTTGAAAGTTATCAATTATATTAGGACTAAATGTGTAGATATTTCTTGAATTTGTAATGTTTTGTTTTTATGTTTGTTGATTTTTTGTATAAAATGAGAAAAGTGTGTGTGTGTATATATAAATATATAATCACTAGAATTCTTTAATGCATGCATATGTACCATGCATTCAGTTTTTTACACTGAACAGATTGAACTTTAGGAAAGAAGGGCACATTTTGGTTCATGTTTCCTTATGCCAATATTAAGTAAGGAGAACAACTGGAAAAAGAACAATCCCTACCAGTACCCTGTACAAAAATAAATCTATGACCCACCAGGTTCAGCCTCCCTGGAAATAGCTACTAGCATTAGGAAGATTATAGTGTCACTATAAGCCAGCAACAATAGGAAAAACAACTGTAATAAGACACTAAATAAATCTAATAATTAAATAAACTTATCTGTGATTGATTTTTATATTCAACAGTGAATGATTTCAATTATGAATTACAAAAAGCAATTCTACTGAGGTCTATGTACTCAGTTTCAGAGCAGGTAAGTACAATTTTGTAAGTTTAAAAACATCAACATCAAGAGACAAATTATCAAGAAGAATTCATCAAAGTAAGAATCATCACACAAGGATCCAAGGTATACTCTCCCTAGAACGTTTTTGGTTAAACCAGCACTAGAAAGTTTTGATTAATTTCCAGTTTAATTTTCAGTTTGAATGGTGCCCCACATACAAGATTTCAATAATAGATGTAGAACTACTCTTGGGCTGCGGTCACATGGAACAGTAGCCACGCTAGAGAGACGGAAGATAGGTGGATTTTCCGGGCGCGATCTCACCGCCACATCTGGGAAGCGTAGAGCTCCCGTGGCTCAACCAAGGCTTCCCTCCGAAGATGCGCGGCAAAAAACTAGTACCTCGGAGGTACTAGTTTCTGGAAACCGCGGGGCAAGGGCGGGCGTCTGATCACGTTTCCGGTGGCATCCGGCGCCCGCCCATGTCCCCTCGCAAACAGGTCATTTTTCCCCCAAGGCTCCACGGATGCGCACAAGCACCCAACGGAGCATGCACACACTTCAATTTAAAAAAGTAAAACCCAAAAAAAACAACCCCGTTTGCCGCGCCGCCCTGCTTCTTTGCCTGTGGTGTGATTGGCACCTCCCCCTTAGCCACAGGACCTCGATGGGACCTCAACCGGAGGTCTGATTCTCGCAGTCGTGCGTTAGTTTGCCCCGGGGCAAACAGCCACGCTCCCCCCCCCCGCATTTTCCAGCCCGTGTGACCGGGGCCTTGGAATGACTGTCACCTTTATTGGTATTTACAACAAATTTGGAGAGAACATTCTGTAAATAGTTGTAACACTGCTACTGGTCTCACTGAAAAAGTTTAGCGAAACGAGGGAATCTATACCCGGGATCCTCATGTGATGATTCTTCTTTCAATGAAGTCTTCTTGATTATTTGTCTGTTGATGTTGATATCTTTAAACTTACAAATTTGTACTTACCTGCTCTGAAACTGAGTACATATACCTCAGTGGAACCATTACGGTATATAAAAATCAATCACAGATAAGTTTATTTATTTAACTATTAGATTTATTTAGTGTCTTCTTACAATAATTTTTCCTATTGTTGCTAGCTTCCCCAGAAAAAGCAGCTTTTAAAACAGTGGTACTCCCAGAGTGCACAGTTATGCAACTATCTGAAAGTTCTCCATTTTGGTCTCCAGTTAATTGCAGCTCAAAATAGTGCACCCTACAATATCATTTTCATTTAACCTGTATTCCTCAGCAGATTCTGCTGCCACCCAATGCCTTTTTTCCATATGCAAGCCAATCAAATAAATTCAAGGCTCAGTAGTTTACCTTAATATATCTTTTCAAGGTCACCTTTCCTACAGAGATATCAGTCCTTCACCTACTCAGTTCACTCACAGCTACAGACAGAGCTGGCTGTCCTACCGACAAAAGAATCATTACTCAGCTATACTTAGGAGCTCATTCACATTTTGCAATATGGGCTGCAAACTGCACGCATACGGTCACATGTAAATATTGTGTATATATTTTTATTGCAAATGTATACACTATACACACACTGGGAAGTGACAGCTAACTGTGGCTTCTTAGCATGTATGTACACACAATATAAAAACGTGTGATCATTACATGCCAAGTTAACACTGTAAATCCTATGCAGGACATTCTATGTAGCAATCTTACATGAAGCAGCCCCTCTACAACACAGCCTCAGATCCGCAAAAGTGCACTTGCTTTCAAGTAAGTATTACCTAATGTCACGGTCCTACACAGGCATTTCAGACAACCCAAAGGGATTGCAGCTGATGTTAGCAATACTGTGTTCTCCAATATCCTTTATTACATTTCCTGTCATGAAGCATCCTGCCTTATATTCGGATACAATGTATTTACCAGGCTTTCCCCCCATCAGATTTCAAGACGTCATATGAAGAATTCAGTAACTGATCAGTATTCAGAGCATAACATAGGCTGTTTAATTTGTGTGCCAGCTTCAATGAGAATTCATTATGCTGAGCAGAACCTAGTAGAATTTTGCAAAAAAAACCACCCCAAACCAAGGTTTCTTCTGGGAGTGTATTTTTTAAGCCCCAGTTCTTGGGTTGAAGTCTTGGAGATCAAAATATCTAGTAGTACAATAGAACTTAAAAAAAAAAAAGTCAGCACTATCACATGTATCCTCAATTGGGAAGGAAAAGGCCAATACAGATTTGGCAGAGAAAATCATCAGCTTTCCAATTATACCAACAAGGCAAAACAAAAGTCAAGCTGTTCACCAACACCTACCTGCACAGGCTCCTCCAGGACCCCACTACAAATGGGGCATATAAGGTCTTCATCAACATCCCCTTGAAAGCGTGCTACATCATACCCCATTTCTCATCACCGATGCCAAAACCCTAGAAAAAGCAGGAGGGAGGGGAAGAAGTGGGAACAGATAACATGAGGACTTTTGCTGCAAGAAGAACTAGAATATTCACAGCACTGTTCCTGCAGAGCCAGTTAAAAGTCACTCTTTTTTGATGGCTCCCCTGCCTGCCAACTGACCTGATAAGGCTGCATTCTAAGCCAGGGATTCACAGACAAGTTCCAAACCCTTCAAGAGCAGGGTGTGGTACAGTGGGGGAGAGAGAGAAAGAGAGAGAACATACAATTTGATTCAGTCCCACTTCTGCACACTGAATTGCTCCTGTTTCCCCGCCTGCTAACGCTAATTAGACACTTCTCCCCACAGTGCATTATTACTCATCTCTTCACATGCATTTTTTTTTTAAATTCCACACCTTGCCTTATTTTATTTTATTTTTGCTTCTGCCGGATAATTTGACTGTATGGGTGATGGTAAGTGGTGCCTATATTTCACATCAAATTATACAGAATGTATGAAGGAAACTAGAATACTTGATAGGAGGGGTGGAGGGGAGGTTCAACTTAACTGTTTTATGCCTGTCTCTGAGGAAGGCTGACAACAGCAGAATAAGCCGCAGGTAACTTGCAAGCCTTGCAAGGGAACAGAGAGGAAGCAGGTCTGCACAAAAGTCTTCTAGTCAGGAGCAGAACATAACCTCCTCTTAGGACAGATATCCTTCTGCAAACAGGAGTCATGGGTTGCTCCTGAGGTAGAGAGACAGCATACTTATCTGCCCTCAGAAGAAGCTATTTGGAAGAAGGCACACCGAGAGCCTCACTAGAACGCTGGTCTGGATGATTTAATTTCTCACATGACACAGTTTGGGAATGGCTGACTCTCAAGAAATAGGATGATCCTTAGCAGCTACAACTAAGTATATGAATCAACTTTGCTAGATTACCTAGAGCAGTCCGATCCATCTCACAAATTGCAACTTCCCAGTTCCATGCTCACACAAGCTATCAACAACCATTTTGACCCCCTACAAATAGTCCCCAATGAAGAAAACTAGAAGAGATGGTCTATTGACGTTTACATACTGTCAAATGAATGGCAGATCGACTAAATCCATAGTTAATGAAAGAGAAGATGGACTTCCCTGGAAAGCTGTTGAGGAGGCACAAGGTCCTCCTTGATTGTCCCCATATAATTCCAATTGATAAATTTGCCAAAATAGACTCATAAAATCCAACACACGTTATAGCGCGGTGGTGGTGGTGGAACTAAAAAGGCCAGATCCTTTAAACCACAAGCAGAAGGCACTCTCAGTAGCAGATCTTCTTTCCCCCTTTCTACAGCAATCCTCACAAGACACCTGAAAAGCCAGTGCTGGATTGATGGAGTCATTTTGTAAACAAAATGCCATGAGCCACAGTGGGTGGACCTGACGGAGAAGGGAGAGATTGGGGGAAACTGCCACTTCTTCCTTGCTTAGATCATTTATATGCAGCTTCTCCAGAGACTGCCCACAACTAAAATAAAATACAACCAAACAACCTATTAAGAACATGCCAGGGCACAAAAACAGCACAAGACAAACATTGAGCAGCCTAAAATAATACTGATGGAATAGTCCTCAGGCCAGAAGCAGACCACAAAACAGCTAAAACAAATAGGACCCCTTTGTTAAAAGCCTAGTGCCTAAAAGAAAGTAAGGTAAGCACCAGGTGAGTCTTCCAAAGGCCAAGTTCTGCCTCTGAGAAAGCGGCATCTCTGATTGCCACGTGTTTCACCTCTTGGGGAGCCCTGTGAACTGGGCTGGAAAACAGGATCTTAACTGGCAATCAGGAGAATACCAAAGGAGATGGCCAGCGCCAAAGCCAGTTAGTCTGCTAAAGGTATGTGCATGTGTTAAGTGCTGCCAAGTCACTTTGGACTTATGGTGTCTCTATGAATTAATGACCTCTAAAACATCACACAACCAAACAACCTATTAAGAATATGCCAGGGCACAAAAACAGTACAAGACAAACATTGAGCAGCCTAAAATGATACTGATGGAATAGTCCTCAGGCCAGAAGCAGACCACAAAACAGCTAAAACAAATAGGACCCCTTTGTTAAAAGCCTAGTGCCTAAAAGAAAGTAAGGTAAGGTAAGCACCAGGTGAGTCTTCTAGAGGCCAAGTTCTGCCTCTGAGAAAGCGGCATCTCTGATTGCCACGTGTTTCACCTCTTGGGGAGCCCTGTAAACTGGGCTGGAGAACAGGATCTAAACTGGCGATCAGGACAATACCAAAGGAGATGGCCAGCGCCAAAGCCAGTTAGTCTGCTAAAGGTATGTGCATGTGTTAAGTGCTGCCAAGTCACTTTGGACTTATGGTGTCTCTATGAATTAATGACCTCTAAAACATCCCATGGTTAACAGCATTGCTCAGGTCTACCTAAAAGGTGTCCCAAAAGGGCCCCGTTAAAGGTAAGAACTGAAAAGTGAAAGCTTGCTCTACTCCATTTCCTCCACCAGCAGAAGGAGGTGGGGCAATTTTTTCAGTCCTATAAATTACTGTGGCCAATTTTAATATTATTCACTTCTCTGAAAAAATTTCTTTGGTTAGACTCTTACATCTTGGTAGAGATGAGTGATAAATCTCTCGATTAAGGACCAGCCTCTGTAAGCTTCGTTATCCTCCCCAAGGCAAACATGTAACCAGCAATTATACAGGATTAGCTGTACAGTTTCCCCAAAGCTATGTCACAGGTCTTGTAGGCTTCGCTCATTTCTGCCCACTTCAGTAACTACCTTCTACAGCAAAAGTTGTTGGGCAGAGGACACTGCACTTTCTCCTTACAAGTTAAGCCTTTGTTGGGTAACTAACAGGCTCAATTGTGACATCAAAGGAGCAAGGGTGACTGACTCCCCATTAATTTGCCGGATGCAGTCCTATTGGCCAAGATGGCTTTAGTTTTAAGATTCTGAATACATGGGGGCATGTCTTAGACCAAATTAGGATCAGCAATGACAAAAATAGAGATTTAAGTTTAAAAATAAATAAATCAGAATTCAGGTTTCAGCTATACACTTCTTTTAAACATAACCTGGTTTAAAATGAAAGCTGAAATTAATGTGAGCATATCATGTTAGAAATTAATTTAAGACTCTTGGGAGAACAGGAAAATGATTGTCATCACACAACAGTTCTGTACTTATATAATGACTTGACATGGAGGGCCGAGAACTGGCAAATCACCACAGATAACATCCACAGATCCTTCTGGTTTACCTTTCAATATTCTTCTAACCCTAGTAACTACCAGATTTTTGCAATTGGCTCAGTATTCCTGCTATACCTATTTGTATCTGACATCTCAGCAACATGGACATTTACCTTTCACCTCATGGAGAACAATTATCTGACCAGTAACTACTGTCACAAGCCCTTGATGCTGGTTGAATTGTTTTTGAGGGCAGGATAATTATATAATCAAGGAGAAGGGCCATATTGAAACAGAAGTCAACACTCGGGAAAAGCAGCACCTTCTAGTGTTGATCCCAATGAGAAATAAAAAATTGTCATGATCTTAGAATATTACATTTTTTTAAAAATAGTCATATTAAGTTAATACTCTTAAAAATGCGTAACGTATCCTCTGAGACTGTATAAAAGTTCTATTTAGTTTTTAAAATATCATTATTTGATGTACTTATACTCGACTTTTCCAAATGGCTTACAATTCCCAAATCTGTTGTTTTTTGCCATCAAGTCTCAGCTGATTTATGGCGAGCCCATTGGGTTTTCAAGGCAAGAGACATTCAGAGGTGATTTGCCATTGCCTGTCTCCATGTCACGATCCTGGTACTCCAGGGTATTCCTTGGTGGCCACCAGTTGCTATGAACAGTTTTATTTTATTGGTCTTGTTGTTTTACACAAGAGTAATAAAATACTGCATTGCCTATTGGGACTTAATGGGACACTGAAAAAGCTGGGCCCGTCAACTTAAGAGAATCCCAGATGTTTGTCCTTCTCTCTCACACCTACCATTCCAGTTGCTGGTGGCTTTAGTAACTGGGCCTTGGGAGGTAGAGCTCATGAAAATAACCTGGACAGCACAGACAGTCTCCCTTAATACAAGCCTAGTGTGGTGGGTTCTAGTGATCATTTCCATTATTAATGTACTTCTGTTAGCAGAATCAAAGGTTCCCTGCCTCCGTTCTCCCATAGCAGCCCACTTACCTTCATGAATGTCATTCCTAGAAATAAGAGACTCCTAAAAACAGTATGAGGGGCAAATTGGTGACAATCACTCATGCTCCCATTAGCAGACATTATTGTCAGGATCTAACCCATTATCTGGTGAATTACTTTTGCTCACCCCCTGAGGGGAGGGATCCCTTTCCCCCTGGCTCTTGTTCCCTGCCACTACTCCTAGCAGCAGCAGGATATATATTTTTTGAAAAGTGACCATTTGGCTAATGGCATGACATCATCCCCAGAAAAAACCAGGAAGTGACATCACAACCTCTCTGGGCAATTCCTAGAGAGGTGTGACTTCTGGGAAAACCCAGAAGTGAAATTACACCAACAGCTGCTCCCCATGCCCCCCAGGTCTCTTGCTAAGTGACACTGAGTGGAATACTGAGATCCTGGGACTGTCATTTGGTAGAGATGATGGCGGGGAGGAGTGTCCCAGACAGTGGTCTTCAGCATTTCCAAACCCTCACCTCCCAAGCTGTAGTGCGGAAGCTACTGAGCTGAAAAGCATATGATGAGAAATCACATGACATCATAACCAAATAAGAGTCATGTGACAGGTAGATGAAGAACAAATGTACGTGAATGTGCCTGTGCTGAAAAAGGAATCTTTTCCACTGCTGAGTGATCTTGACATCCCGTCCCACTGCTCCTCTCACTTCAGGAGAGACAGGAGGCATATGCACCAGCAGCGGATTCATTCAAATTCTAACAAAAAGGCAGTTCAACAGGAGCTCAACATCCAGAAAGTGGGGCTTCTGCAACTCACCTGAGGATCCTGACACATTACCCGAACATGT